TTTGAGAAGGCCAACAGTATTTTTATTTTCGTTCCTGGTTTCTAGCGCAACTGCGTTGCGCAGCTACCTTATTAAATTATTGGTATAATGATCAAAAAGATCCTTTTAAATTATTGGTATAATGATCTACGTATTCTAAACATATCAAGATCTGCAACGGTCGCTTTACTACGTATACATATATCATACGTAAATCTGCATACACTACGTTCTTGGTGTTGTATCTAGTGCCAAAAAACTATTTACATTTATTTCTTGCATTTTGATAATATTATAATAACGATGGTACATTTTATAAATATTATAGCTACCAATCTCCCAACTTCAATTACTGTATTAATGATTTTATATATAATCAGATATTATTATAAATATTTTACTAGAGTGAATCCGCTTCCCGGACCATTTCCTTGGGCGCCTATCATAGGAAATACTCTAGATTTGTTCAGATATAAGTTAAACTTGGCAGAGTACATCAAAGATGTCCAATCGAAATATGGTGATTTTTGTGAAATTCATTTGGGTTCTAAACGAATTCTCATAGTTTCAAATAGCGATGTAGCTTATCCAATTCATACCTCTTCAGTGGCTCATAGTTATAAATTCTTATATCGTGATTTACCAAATCCTGGATTAAATGTAGTGGGTATGGAAAATTGTGGAATTATTGCTAATAGAAATTTGGATGAATGGAAAATCAATCGCGAGTTCTTTATAAGAATAGCAATGTCAAAAAAATTTTTAAAAATGCTCACAGGAAAAACATATAAAACGACTGCAGATATGTTTAAATTATGGGATATTATGATAAATGACAAGAAAGAAGTTGATTTGTTTAGATGGCTAGAAAAGCTTACTGGGGATATAGCAATCTCAACATCAACTGGACCTTCTGCTTACTCAATGCTTACTTACTTTAATTCGCTAGGATATGAATATGATCTTAATTATATTCCAGCTTCAGAACTGGAACAATCTTCAAAATTGATTTCTCTTATTAACTCCTTTTTTAAAGCAATGCAATGTAATAATTTAATAATTGTATATTGTAAATAGCCATTATAATTAAGCGTTTAATATTTGAATTTTTGATTTTTTTCTTTTTTTTTTTTTTTTTTTAACTCAAGGGTTCAGCTTAATCCCACCTTTTATAAGAAATGCTCCTGGAATAAAGTACTTTAACAACAAGATTTTTAATAATGTAAAAAACTTGAAAGTCTTTTTACTTGAAGTAATTCAAAGAAGACGCACAGAAATCGACTTATTATCCAACAATTCTTTACTGCCATCTGACTTTTTAACATTGCTCCTTACCGTCAACACACCATGGGATCTAGAACATACTTTATATAAGTCATTAAGCCGATCATTGAATGACCATGAAATTTTTGGTGTTATTAGAGACATTTTCTTGGGTTCCATCGAAACGGTGGCTAATTCTTTAATATAATATTTGTAATAGTATACTGAACATAATATTAATATTTTATAATATTAATATTTAACTCACAACAGGTTACGTTTTCAATGTGTTCAGTATTTTACTATATATGCAAATATCCTTCCGCTCAATCTAAAGCACTTTCGGAGATCAAAGATATTTTCAGGGACTCAATATCTTTAAATTCCCTTTACGAAGGTATCGAGAAGCTACTATATTGTGAGTCCTTAATTAAAGAAGCGCTTCGCTTGAACCCGCCATTTCCGCTATCGCCACGATCGAATTCTGAATCTGTAGAAGTTGGTGGATATCAATGGAAAGAGGGACAAGCATTTTTATTATTTTGCCAGAAAATAAACATCAACAAAAGTGATTGGATTGATGGTGAAATTTTTGCTCCTGAAAGGTTTTTGAAGAATATGAATAGTAAGCGATCAATGAATGCTAAAGAAGCTAACAGTAAAAGGGCGTTTTCAACTTTTGGTGGAGGTGCTAGGATTTGTCCGGTTTGTATTAATAAAAGCTACAATTTATATATAAATTATTCAAGCAAATTTTAAAAATTGCTTATTTATATAATTTACATTGACAGGGAAGGAACTGGGCGATTACTGAAATAAAAGTCCTTTTAGTGGCAGTATTAATGAAATATAACATGGAATTTGTAAGGGTTGGACCTATATTATGATACATCTTACCATTGGCGAGAATTTAAAATTCGTCTAAGACCTAGAATGCAGGATGAATAACTTAAATGTAATTCATTCGATCTCTTAGACTATTAAGTTCTCAAGTTAAATTTTTTATAAATAATCAACATCTTTTTTCATTTCTCCATCCTTATATC